AACCATCACTCACCGTGTGCAACACTAGTGAATTTCATACACGCCTTTGCATGCACTGGAAATATAGTCCAATTGAGTGGTCTGACATCTATATATGTCATGTTTTGCCAGCATCTAAGGAAAAGTGCACTGAACTGTTGGCCTTTGCAGCTGCTGACTACAGAGACACGCGAGATGGCTTTAGCCCCCCAAGCTTTTGCCCAGTCCTGACACCTCTAGCTTCAGCTGATCCCAGGAAAGGAGACCCTTGGTAAAACCAAAGTATCTTATATTTTTGCAGTGCCCGTTACCGTTTTCATCCATCCAATTTTTTTGTCTTTCGAACCAAAATGGAATGCCATGGGGTTGTGGTTTTCTGCCTGACTTTTTCATGGTTGGGACCGGCCAACAGTAAGGAGGAAGCCATTCTCACTGTATTGAAGAGGAATCATTTGGTTTACCCGGTGGACATTACATTTGAGGAAGCTTCCCCACTTGCAGGTTTCCCTTGGCTGAAACCAACCGATTTTATTCGTTCAATGGGGAAAATGAACGACCTGGGCCACCTGCTTGGTGGGGTGTCGCTGGCGGATGCCAAAAACAAGCTTATTGATTTCTGGACCAAATACCGATCCATTGTTCCGAAGCATCAGCTATGGGAGCACATTGACAACGGGTCCAAGGACATTACCAAGTGCCTTCCAATATTCATACATGGGGATGAGGGCACAACATACAAAAAAAACGGTGTACTAATCCTTTCCTTTCAAGGAGTGATCGGTGCTGGAACCACAAAGACTGTGGGCAAAAGTTGCAAAAGAAAAAAGGGCTTTGAGGCCAAGGACGCCACGATCGCTGAGGGTCTCCCACTCAACTTTGTTCATACTGGATTGCAAACCAGATTTGTGAGCATTGTGTGTCCGAAGGACTGCGGTTCTAAGAAGCAACAGGTTCGTGTTGCAGGGCAGTTTTGACAAACGCGCAACATCGTGCAACCCAACACCCCTCCATGGTTTGTTTGGCTGGAGGATATGTATAGTGATGACATGCGCATTTGGAATGCCCTCTTCGAGATCTTTGTGAAGGACCTAGCTGTGGCAGAGACCGAAGGGGTGTACGTTGGCCAACCATATGGTAGGGTATTCCCTATAGTTCTTGGAAACAAGGGCGACTGGAGCTATTTGGTTTCTGGGCAAGGAACACCAATCTTTATAATCCAGTCCCCCTAATAAAAAACGCCCCCCCCCCCTAATAAGGAAACCTCGGTCGCATTTTTTCTAATAGGGGGTCCCTGAAATCGGGGGGTCCAAAATAGGGTCACCTGGGAAGAGCTTCAAAACCAAAAAGTAAATCCGTAAAATTTTATATAAAATCCTTTATGAAACTCGTATCAAAAATGCAAAAGCTCCAGATCGAAGGGTCTTCCCTTTCCCCTACAAAAACCTTCATTAGAATAGTGATTCTTCAGTAGACTAACAGCTAAAGCTTTCGAAAGGTGATGTCGCTGTGCCATGCGGTGTTGCATGACCTTGGTGGCAAGTGCGTTTGCGTGAGTCCGTGCCATTGGGGGAAGGAAAGCCTGCTAGTGTAAGCGCGGCGTGTCCTGGTGGATAGACAGGGCGGACAGAGGTGGGCAGTTACAGTTGCTTTTGGAACCTAATAAACAAAACTCCTCCAAAGTCGGCAATGTTGGTAGTTTAGTAGCGGCTTGAAAGGGCGGTAATTTAAAACCAAATATAAACCGTATTCAGGGGTTTCCGACATGACTTTTTTCTAATAGGGGTCCGTTTTTTAATAGGTACTCGGGATTCTATTATTCTGAAGGGTTAGAAGTGATAGACCGTTCCTTGGAGTTCAAACAGTCCTGGTGTGGCACAATCAAGGTTGGTAGCGCGAACTTATCACGATCATACAGAAGGGCACCGAAAGGCGCTGGTAACAATGGAGATTTTGGTGTTCACGGGCCAGGGATTTGCCACCTCTGCATGGCCGGAAGCGGTATTGACTGGGAAGACTTGTTCCTATAGGCTTGATTCAACAACTTTTTTACTGTATGTATGCAGGTTGAGCATGCACATATGAAACAATATATGTTTTTTGGTAAAGGAAATACTGCCAAATCAAACCTCACATTAGGACAGCTGCTGAGAAAGCAATGGATGATTCATTGGTGGTGGCCCAGCCAGCTCCCTGGAAACGAGAAGGCCCTATGACCCGCTGTTTGATGCATGATGCTGGCATCAACGGGAAATCCAGATTCCATGTCATTGACGTGTGGCACATGCTACATCTTGGTGTTGGCAAATGCTGGTTAGCCAGTGCCTTTATGTTGCTACAAAGCTCAGTTGAGGGTGAAAACATCGACGAACGGCTAGATGTCCTTTCTGCAGAATACCGGCAGTATTGTAGGCAATCAAGGCTGGACCCCGTCATCCGCAAGTTCGACCGCTATTCTCTGGGAGGGGGCGGATCAAACGAGGCCTCCGGAACGTGGAACAAAGCATCGGTGACATCAAACCTGCTCCTATATCTGGAAGACCACTTGAACAAGAACCGGGACAAGATCAAAGGGAATCAACTGCTTGAGATTGTTGTTCCTGCGTTGTATTTAACAACTCGAGTGTGTCCCACTTTTGCTTTCAACCAACCAGGGTTGTTTTTATTGTTCAATGTTTGTCTTTATGTGGTTTTGTTTCTCGGTGGCCCCTTTCCAATTGTGTATCCATCTAATCATGTTCTCTCTCGCCAAATTGAGGCTGTCGGAACTCGCAACATCAACAGCTTCATGAGAGGCATTTACCATGAAAGCCTTTTCATTCCCAGCTCTAAGGGCAAGGAATTGTGTGCAGCACTGCTTGCTTTTATCAAAGCATATGTGTGTTTGGCCTCGCTATGCCACAAGAAGGCCCTTCCATATTTTGCACTATTTCCAAAGCTACACTTTTTACACGAGGTCCAGCACACGATGAGCAAACAATGTGCAATGGCATCGCATTGTTTTAATGTGGCCGCAGCCTCTTGCTCGGTCGATGAAGATCTGGTTGGGCGCATCGCCCGACTCACAAGATGTGTGAGTCCGAGGGCATGCGCCTTACGAACATTACAGCGTTACTTAACGCATGTTCAATTAGCATGGTCTCGGGTGTAAAGCCTTTGAGTCGATTGCATGGGAGTGCTTGCATCGCAATGGAAAATGCATGAAAGCCATGAAGCATGGGCTGCAAATTCAGGCAGGTGGGAGCAGTTTGGGCAGAGGATGGCGGAATGGTTCAGTGGTGCTCGCAGCGGTCTAAATGCATGCAAATTTGCACCTTTATATTTACAGCGTTTACAGGGACGTGAATACCCGTGCTGGACGTGAATACCCGTGCAAGCTTTGACTGGGACAACTTTAACCGTTCATGTGTGTGAAATACCGTGAGAATCAGCAAAGGTTGACCCTATGACACATGGACAGCAATGGGCATCCTGGCAGGGCACCAGGTACGTTCACATCCCAAGTTTGGCTTGGTCGGTGGTGTTGCTTCATGAGGTGTTTCATGGAGCGTGCATTCACACATCAACTTCCACTTGGTTGGCGCTGTTGCTTCATGAGTTCCATGGAGCGTGCGTCACATATCAAGCTTTACTTGTTTGTTGCGGTTGTTGTTCAAGTGGAGACTCATGGACCCAGCATCATAGTCCAAGCTCGGCGCTGTTTGTTCATGAGGGGTCTCCTGTGTTTTGCACAGTTGCTTCATGGGGTCTTGGAGTTTGGCCAGCGCTTTCATGGCTGATTTAATTTTGACTTGATGCGGTGCTTCATGAGGGGACTGATGGAGCGTGCGTCCGCTCAAGTTCCGCTGGATTGGGGTGCTGCTGCTTCATGGGGGTCTCATGAAGCGTGCATTACAACACCAAGTTTGGGTTGCTCTGCTGCCTCATGCGAAATCTCCTGGGGCTGCGTTCGTATAGCAGGTTTAACTTGGTTGGTGCTATTGCTTCATGAGGAGTTTCATGGAGCGTACGTTCACTTTTCCAGCTCAACTTGTTTGGCGCTGTTGCTTCATGAGGTGTTTCAGGGAGCGTGCGTTCACATATCCCGTTAACGACTTCCTTGACACTGTTGGTCACGCGGGGAGTCATGGACTGAGCATCGTACTCCACGCTCGACTTGGTCGGCGGTCCCATATGTTGCACAGTTGCTCCAGGGATTCTCTTGGAGCGTTAATTCCATGTGGCCAGCGCTCTTATTGCTCCATGAAGGGTTTTCATGGTTCATTTATGATTTTGACTTGCTCGATTCGGTTGCTTCATGCTTCATGGGGCACGTGATTCGACTTGCTTGTTTGGTTACTGATGAGGAAACTCACAGAGTGAGCGTCATAGTTCAAGTTTGCCTCATTCAAGAAACGGATGTTGCGAACATGGATGTATTGGGAATACATTCCGTCCAAAAGTAACTGGGCTGATGCAATTTCAAGGCTCGGTTGGTCCGATCCGTGGTGGCGAACCAACGGATTCACCTTGCCCGTTCTGTCTATGGCACCTACCGCTTCCAGCAGTGATTCGTGTCATGGAATTTCTCTAAGTGCGTTGGGTATGTTTTAAAGTGCATTGGAGTGGTTTCCGGAGTGACCGGAAGGATATCACAAAGGTCTGATTGTGACAGG